AGCATCTGGTTGGACACCATTACAAAGATGAAATTCTAGAAATTTCAGAATGTCCGTATTTTGGATTCTCTCATGATTCCCAAAGGCAGAATGAGTGTAAGATGCCCTGGATGTGGATAAGAGGAAAGGCCCATGTCTGCACACGCCTAACTCTTCAAAGGATATTGTGCTGTGATTCACAGAAGCATTTCATGCTGTGTGTGCCCTTGAGCCCAGGCCTATGCTTAAACCTGAGAGAAAATCTTATCTTTTAGGAAAATAAGGAGAATCTCTCAGCTATGAACCAAACAGACCAATGCACTGCTGTCATCCTGAATCTGCAGATGGAAACCAGTGACGTTATCTGCTGCCATAATCTGTATGGCTGTGAAGAAAACAAATAACACTTCTAAAGCATAATGGTGAATTGTCCCAAGTCAGCAGCTAAAATTTCATTGACATCTTTTTAGCAAAAGCATCCAGCTAGTGTTTTTATTGTCTTGGACATCGTACGGATTGTACACTGAGGAATAGTTTATCAAGTCTATGACATAAAACATGGAAAAATCCAAACTGAGCAGTAGAAGTATGAGTGCAAATGGAAACTGTTACGCAACCTTAACTCTAACAAGTCATTGCCCGACACCCGCTACAACAAATGCTCTGCTAGGGAGTGGTACAAGCTGCAGACAGCTGAGGAGCTGATTTTCAGATAAGGATTCTATACTGCAACATGCATGTCTGTGCTATAAAAAGAACACAGTTCAATCAATCAATGCATCAAAAATACCAAATACGAAAAAGCTTTAACAACTGAACTGACCTGTTGGGCTGGGCAGGGCAGGTAATTTACTGTAGCATTGGGACTGACGATAGGCTTGGTAACTCGCAGCAGACAGCAGCACATTTTAGATTAAAAGGTGAGAGAACTGATTTCCCTTAGCTTTGCCATCCCCACACCACTCATTTTTCAGTTTTCCTTGGAATCCTTATTACTCCCATTGCATTGTACTGCTCTGACCTTTGTTCCAAAAGACGTAATTATCTGGTTTTGTCTTTTGGGCAGACAAAGCAGAACAGGAAAACTATATTCTGAATTGGATATGGTCCTGTAGAAGGACAGCTCTTCACTCTGAAGAAAACCAATAGAAGGACTATGTCAGCCATGAAGACGACTGCTAGCAAAAGTATGCTTCTTAGGAGTTTGAAGAGGTGCAAAGCTGAACCAACATAATCTGGATGCCAGAACTTCGGCTTCTTTGGTTCAATTCTGCCAATGCACCTGCTTTGTTGGTATAAATACATCCAACACAGGAGTATTCTGTGCGCTCCAACCTCCACACTGGCAGTACGCTCACAGCATACACATAACCTAAGCCTGATTTTAGTGACTAAAGCCAACATTTTCACTAAAGGCAGTCTTTAAATCAAGACACCTACAAATAAATGTAACCTGACTTCAAACTGACTCAGAAGATAAACAATGCCTGGAAGTACTCAGCACATTTAAGAACTGGGCCACTTTAAATTGTGCACCAAAAACTCATATTGAAAAAAGGAGCAAACTGACCATTGCAGGACTTCTGGACAGGAAATAACAATCTTAAAGTGAAATGAAAGACTCGATTTCTTTATACCTCAAGAAGAGGGACATTCATGGTCCTACAGCAAAAGCGACAACAGCTAGCCACCTTAGTGGTAGAATCCCTGTACCATCAACCCATGGAGCCTAAATTCAAATAATGCTTGACTGCTTTGCTTTTCTGAGCATAGGTAAGCCCTGAGTCAGTCACCTATGTGAAGAGGCAATTATTAGCTTACTTATTTTAACACAGCTAAGAAAACTAGGCCTTAAGTTGTCCAAATTTTGTCTCGTACTGCAGGGATGCGAGTGCACTGCCCCTGGCCCAGGCAGTGTCCTCCAGCCTGCCGCTCCAGCAGCAGGCAACTCAAAGCAGTCTCCCTGGCTGCTTTTTTTTTCTGTTAAATCACATGATCCATCAGCGTAACTCATCGAGTGCCACAACTTACCATTTCATTCCATCTGCAAATGTACTTGAGAATCGTCTTATATTTCCTTCCAGGTAACTGATAAAGCTATTGAGCAGCGTCATGCCAAGAACAGATTCCCCTGAGTTCCCACTAGAAGCAACCCGTGAGATGAACATTCCCTGACTCTCGATCACTTTTCAAGATGTTTCCGTTAGTCCGTTTTTAATCCATTTGGTAACCCTGGATTACACTGATTTTACACACTGTTCTTTCGTTTTGTTTTTAACCACGCTGTCAGCAAGGCTAAGTAAATGTCATAAAGCAGTCTGAGTGTCTTTGTCAACTTCAGTTGTGATCCTGGAAAAAGCAGTATCAAGTTTGTTTGACAAGAGCTATTATCCATAAAAACTTGCTGGCTGGCATTAGGCATGCTGTCATCTCTTCATTTTTTGTTGAAGGTATCCAGTTTCAACCTTCCAGTGTCTTTGCTTGACCTATAGTTACCTGGATCATCTTGTTTAACCTTTAAAAATTCTGGCACAACATTTGCTTTTTCCAGTTCACTGGAACTCCCCTTGGTATGCCAAGATTTGTTAAAAAGCAACAATAATGATTTAGACAGTTCCAACTCTAATAGTACTCTCCTGTGCAAGCTTTCTGGTCTGACAGAGAATTAAGGAGGAAATACAATTATTGAATTTCACTTCTAACTTCAATTTCAGAAGAGCTGAACTTCTACTAGAATGACCTGCCAGCATTTTCATAATGAAGTGTAAAGCACCCATCAGTATTTTTGCTATAAGGTTTCAGATAGTCTCAAGCGCTTCTGTGCCTTGATGTCTCAAATCACCTGAAATATTGTAGGGACAGTTTGCTTTTTACACAGTTGTTCCACCATATGTATTTCCTTTTGTCGTTTCTCTCTTCCACCCACCATTTGCTACGTTTGATGGGGAAGCCTGGAAGTTTTACAGGATAAGATTAAAGGACAGATATCTGAAAAAAAAATTGGATTTTGTACAGTCTTGTAAGCAACCTTTATGGCTGTGTTTGATAAATTTTTAGAAGCTTAGGGTTCAGTTAATGTTACTAAAAAAATCAATGGAATAACCTTGATTTTGGCAGACTCCTTAAATTTAGGGGTTTGAACTTAAACTGTATTTAAACACTAGTCCTCTAAATTTGGCATCCATTATTTCTGAAGCTATTAATTAAACAACTTTCATCTGCTGTTGCATATTATGGCATTTATACTAGCAGGTGGAAAGGCAAGATGCTATATAACAATTTCTGTCTTATTACCCTACTTTATCTGAAAATACAGATATAAAAATTTCTTTGGAAAAAACAATTACAGTAGGAAAAAAGATTCAAACTAATTGTAAGAAGCTTTTAAAATAGATCAGTGGATACATCACTGCTTAGCTGCTGAATTGAATTACTAGCAGACTGTCAGGTATATCTACTAAATCAATACCTAGCATCTAGACTTCAATATTCTCAGTTTGAAGCATATTTGCATATTTCTTCAAATATTTAACTTCTACTCTCTTATATGGTAAATACAACAGAAACAGTGGAAGTACAAAGTTTTTGTGAATGCCTTTAGTATGTGTGGGTTAAGTAAGAGAAACATTTGGCCCTTTAAAAAGAAGGTAAGAGTAGTACAAGTTGCAATTAATATTAAAATTTGTATGTGACGTTCTCCCTATAACAGAAAAAGTGATGGCTTGATTGTGGGAGAGGGGTGTCCTAGAATAACTTCTTCCTGACATTTGGCTGATATCACCATTTTTGTGTGACTTTGTAAAGCCTCCTGAATCATTACACAGCCCTAATCCTCTAGTCATCTATCAAGAGGGATAAAAAAGGCTGGTTTTCTTTTTTCACATCAGGAAAAGTTACTGATTAATACACTGTTATGTAGAATCTCCTTCAATACGAATGTAACAACACAAAACAATTTCAGGATTCTTTAGGCTTCAATTATGTCCGTTTGCACACCGCTCTAATGTTCAACACCTTTTCCAGCGTGCTACCCAATAGCTTATTCTTAAAAACAAACTTTATCTGGATGAAATTTGAATTTTTTTAGTTCCCATCTTTCTTTCATCTGATTGCATGCCAGAACTAATTTTTTTTTTTATAAGCTCCATTATGAGAGAGAAGAATACAATGTGAGAAAACAGCTACTAACACAGGCCACAGTTGGAATCTCAAAGAGATGTTTTAAAAGACCAAATCCTGAAAAAGTATTATAAATCGTCTTCCAATTTCAGTGGAGATTCCTTGCATAGCGAATTGAGTTTCTGGGATGGAAATATTCTTGGAAGTAGAAGAAACAAATCAAAATAACATATCTAATGAGTGCCAGCTATAATGACCAACAGAAGCAGGCTAACCCTGCTGGGATTTTGGTCCCCTGTGCAATACATCTCTCAGGTGTGGAGGGCTTACTCTAAAACTGGCTTCAAGTCTTCTGACAGGAAGACATGTATTTTTCACAGATTATTTTTTTTTTTTTTGGATGTTTCAGCATATGAAACACCACAATTTTTTAGTCAATTCTACTTTTACCAATCCAGAACACAGGCCAGTACCAGGTAAACTGGGCTCCTGGCTATAAATTCTTTGTCAGTGTTTCTCACCTCCCCTGTTACCTTTGCACTAACAGAAGGTTTCAAGTAGCTAAGAAAAAAAGATACAAAATCCATGTGCTTTGTGCCTTTGCTGCCAAAAATTACTGTGGCTGCTATGATATAAGTCTACAAAAACATTTGTTAACATAATGTTATTCATTTCCTTGTTTTGCCTAACTCCAATGTTTACTTTGTACCTGAGCATGTTGGCACTTTTATTATGTTCAAGACCGAGATTTCAAAGAAATGTGGGCTTGTGCAAGAAATATTTAGTCAGAGTTTATCAGTTTCAAACATTCAATGTGACATTCCTAAAGCAACACAATGCAAAAAGCCAATTTTCCCATTTCATGTATGACCTGAAGTTGTGAGGAAAGAGAGGAAATTTACCCGATTCCTGAAGATAGCGATACACCAAGAAATTCACTTCGTCACTGGTTATGCTCATCTTAGCCCAACCTCAATATGATGAGGTTTACGAGAAGTGTGATCCACGCTCTGTTCAAAGGAAAAGAAAAGAACAGGTTTTGTTTTATCTCCATTTAGTATGAAATTCGTTATCAAAATAGAGGTGGGAACCGTTAAGATATTTAAAGATCTCATATAGTTATTAGAGCCGTTATGTACCAATGTGAGACACCCATTAAATATTGTGAACCAAGTACTCGAGCTGTACATGAGAGAGTCAGGGAAAGCATTTTAGATCTTGGAAGCCACTGCAAATGTCAACTCTTCTGTGGCTTTCCTACAGCTTCTCTGGACACTCCTTTTTACCCTGTGAGCATTTTCTTTTCAGAACTGCTGGCAATTACAGTCATGTATAACACACCAAATCATAACTTTTTTCAGCCCCAAATTTGTAATCCAGTTTTCTGTCTGGTAGTTCATCCACTGAAAAGACACATCCTTTCCGTACACAACTATGTTATGCAAAGAAAAATAAAGTTCCGATAAAATAGAAACAAATCTATATTTATGATGTGATTACAAATTTTATTACTGGGGGGAAGAAAGAGAGAGAGAGAAAAATAGAGAGAGAGGACACCATATACCTTGTGCCAATACGAATATCCTGGCATCATATAAAGTTATAATATCTCTGCAGATTAATGGTGAGCAAGAATTAAACTTCAATTATTCACGTAAGTAATCATAACCTTTAGGATGACAGTTTTACACTACTATTTTAGGCATATACTCTGATAATAAAACCATCGGTCTTCAGATGATAAATTTGTTTTGAACATTTTCCATTAAACCTCGATGATTCATTTCTGTTTGGGAATCTGACTGAAGTAGTTTGGTTTGAAAAGCCCTAAGTACTTCTCAGACACCAACTTTGCCACTCTGTCAGCCACACTGTACCTGTAACTAATCACGTAGAGATTTGGATGCAGAAGCACACGCTACCCTCTCGTCGCGCAGCACAAACGAAAGACCGTGGGCGTGTGCTGTTTGTTTCAATTTCCCGTATGCCTCTTCTTGGCAAGAGGAAGGGTCTTTGTTCATCGAAAACCTCCTCGGTAATTCCTGTTGCCTAAAGTAGCACCTGCTACCGCAGGCAATGCTGATGGACTGCAAGCTTCCCCTGCTGCAGACTTAAACCAGCAGTTCACTCATGACTGTAACAGATGTCTCGGCATATCTGTGTGAAGGCAGGTCATTCGAACCCTGGTAAACCTGTTATTCTCCTGGGTTGCTATATTTCACCAATGGCTCGCATCCATGTTTTCCGTAAGAAACCATGGCTTGCTAATTTGGGAGGCAGCTTCCTCAAGTATTCCAGTCTTTATTAATACAGTCTGCACTTCACGGAGAACAAGAAGAAACAAAATAGTGAAAATTGTGCAGTCTCAGTGGGGAAAATCTCCTTCACTTTGGAAAGGATGAGCACTTTCTGCCGAGTATCCGGATGAAGATAATATCAGCTGCATCCAACATCCAGTTCTGTCACACGTCACCTATCGCCCTGGGAAGTCGGTTGGTCTCTTTCCTCCTCAATCCCTCATCTGTAAAATGGGCTCAAATTTCTCTGCCACAGGGATCAGGGGACTGGAAGCACTGGCAGCCGTAAGGGCTTTAGTTACCAAGGCTGGCGACTGCAGGCAGTGGAAGCACCACTTTCAGCATAACTTTATATGTGCTTCTTCCAGATAAACAGACTTGTTTCTGAATAATTAATAAACCCCTGTGCCCCCGTTAGCACAAACGTCACCATACCACGACGAACAAGACAGACATTCATGGCAACAGTTAAGGCCATTTTCATCCCCAAGTACTTAAAATACATCTGTATCTCTGCTACAGCCAGGCCATGACAACAATAAATCCAGAAACTTTGATAGCTGTGGGTTTAAAAAAAACACCCTACGTAATGCTTCTAAAAGCATTTTAAAAATAGAAGTTTCAGTATTCGGTGGTAGGAAAGTTGGTAAAGATGAAATCTCTTACAAAAATTCAGTTTCAGCAATGACGTACTTTGTGGTAAAGTGAACTTTATTCAAATTAAAAAAAATCAAGAAACTACAAATGCTGTTTCTGGATGCATCCTGCTACTTTAAGACAATAACATGATTTCCCACATACAGACTGTTGCCTTGGGAAAAGGAAGGGAAGGGAGAGGAGGAGTGTCGTTTTTTGTTTGTTTTTCTAAAGACGACTTTTCTTAAGTGAATTAAAACCAGAGAAAATCAGCCTGACTGCAAAATAAATAATCTGACAGCACCAGAAAAACCTTCACAGCAGCTACCTTTGTATCAGAATCCCAAGTGCACCGAGTGGCTGGATTTACAATGCATTTTCCCTGAAGTCAGTCAACAGGAATTACTTTGACATATGTGTCGGATCATATCTTCATACGCATTGTTACCATGCCATAAATAACCCGAAGATCCCCACTCAGACATTTAAAGTTTCTTCCCTCCCACGGACGCCAGTGCAGCAATCAGATACACAACTGTAAAGCTTTTACCCGTCCAAAAAGATAAACAGATTTTGGCTCTGACCCAGAGAAATCTATTCATTAGCAATTTGGTTGAGCTACGAAAGACCATGCTCCATTTCATTAACACTCCTTTCTGTTTCCTTCTTCTCCACAGACAAAACACCCCAAATAAAGGAGGGTGCGGAAGACACGGTGGGGCGGAGAGGAAGGTACTTCTATTCCGTGTATCTCCAAGTCTGATTCATAAGGAACAAACAACTAGCATCCCCCCCTCAATACAATTTTTTTAAATGCAGAGATGCAAAATTTTGTAGAAAATCGTGCAAACCTTTAGTTATCACTGTGACAGATTTATTTCTGCTAATTGATGATCTCCTTTTGTTACTGGAGAGCGGTATTACCTAGATTAATAGTTTTTTAGAAGAAATAAATTACAGCTTATAAACAATACTGATGTGCCTTTGGAGACATTTCACATTGAAACCTGGAATAACATCTTAATTCATCACAATGTCAAGAGGATTTACCAAAGCATTGAAACATGTGTTTGAGCTTTCTTCACTTGCAACACTTTTTCCTGTACCCAATTACACATAATGGAAAATTCTATTTACTTCAATCTCGCCTTAGGAATCTGGGTTGTGATCCTGCAGATATTTGAGAATGTCCAAACACGTGTCCAGAGCCCACTAAGACTTCCCGAAGTATAATGGATCCTAAACATTCCACCCTTCCCCGGTGGATGGGTTGTCAAGACCATGCAAAAATTAAATTTAACACTTACTTTAAATAAACACTCAACTCAGAGTTCTGCCGGGATAGGTTTGCAGAAATGCTTCCCACACAGAGGTAAAAAGCTGGGTTATTAGCTCAGACACGCTACCGCTGTGCTCCTAGGCCTGCCTGGCTTTTGCTGAACGAAGTCGTTCAGCTGGAGTTGAGCTGGCTCCAGCAAAGCTAACCCTGTGTGCTCCGGGCAACCAGGGCAGCTTGTTTCCTGGAGCACACCACTGGACCCGATTTGGCTCCATGCACCGACATACCACTGCTCTCAAATTAAACCTTCCTGAAGCACTGGGAATCTTGCTAATGGGCCGTGCAAGTAGCTCTGGAGACGGCAGCTTCGTGTATAGCTACGGTTCAGTGCAGCGCTGGTCGGGTTGACCAAGAATAGTTTGTTTATATCCCATCCCCTTACTCAAGGATTGCTCTTCCTTCTCCCGGCGTATTTTAGCGCTGTTGCCATAAATAAGGGAGATCTGGCTGGAGAATTGGGAAAATAGCTTTTTCAACTTGGAAACAGCAGCTAAAGACACAACTCCTCTGCCTCTCTTCTAAATCATGCTCACAGGGTCCTGCGAGGCCGTGTCCTGACCTCCAGGCTAACCCCGGGGCAGGGGATGGCCAAGCCTATTTCAGGAAAGGAGTTTACATGTGCTACTTGAAGCGGCACTGCCACTCACAGGGAGTGGGAGTTACCAGTCCAATTTTCCCCTCAAGGAAGGCGGAAACAGGCCAGACATTTTGGGAAAACACCTAAACTAAAACCTAAACCTGAAACCTAAATAGGAAGCCAGGCACTTCCCATTTCTGCATCCAGCCCTGCCGACAGAAATTCATCAGATGGCTATTCTGGCCCTCCTTTTAACCCCTGACAAATTCTGCAAGCTCCAATCGGCTTTAATGAGTGCTGAGCAGTCGTCCGCTTCTTGGGATGATTTTTCTGGGGTCATTACTGTTAAGTAAACACCCTCCCTACCCTTACAAATTGTCACTTATCTCCTGGAGGGGCTACACTATTTACCTACTTATTTGACAAGGCTAGGCCAAAACATCTTTTCCCAACCAAAGTTTTAATGACAACAAGATTGTCATTAAAATTACGTGGGGTGAAGAGAAATTGTGTATTTGGCTTGGGGGAAAAAAAAGCAAAAATGAGAGCTAAAAATGAAAACATTCCATAAGGTTCAAATATTTAATGCTATCAAATTATAGAATCATAGAATGGTTTGGGTTGGAAGGGACCTTAAAGATCATCTAGTCCCACCCCCCCTGCCATGGGCAGGGACACCTTCCACTAGACCCGGTTGCTCAAAGCCACATCCAGCCTGGCCTTGAAGACATCCAGGGATGGGGCATCCACAGCTTCTCTGGGCAACCTGTTCCAGTGCCTCACCACCCTCTCTGTGAAGAATTTCTTCCTGATATCTAATCTAAACCTCCCTGATTTCAATTTATACCCATTACCCCTTGTCCTACCACTACAGGCTCTTGTAAAAAGTCCTCTCCCAGTACCCTTGTAGGCCCCCTTCAGGTACTGGAAAGCTGCAATGAGGTCTCCTCAGAGACCTGATTGATGCCCTGACGTGTGGAACTGGAGTTCACATACTCGTGCTCCCATTTTTTCACCCAAGATGGCTCCATGCACAAAGCCACGTCTCTCAGGACCCACTACAGCCTCCCCATCACCGAGAAGAGAATGTGAACACGAGAACTAAAATAGACTCTAGGAAGGCACCGTGACAGCACAGCCAAATCAATGTGTTACTGTTTT